CTAAGCTTGTTCTAAGTAGGTGCTTTAGACCACTGAGCCATCTCACCAGCCCCTTTTGTTTGTTTTTGAAATAGGGTCTTGTTATGTAGTTCAGGCGGGGCTGGACTTACTCTGTAGCTCAGGCTGACCTCAGACTTGGAGTTTATCCTCCTGCTTCAGCCTCCTAAGTGCTGGGATTACAGGTGTGTGCCACCATGGCTGATTTCTGGGTTGATATTTTGTATTAGTACTTTGAAGATATTCTGTGTGTTTTGTGGGCTTTTTTGTTTTGTACAGGGAATAGAGCTTGGGACCTTGTGCTTGCCAGGTATGCACTGAGTGTGCCACTGAACTACATCCCCAGCCCTAGATTGTCTGAAAGATTATTTCTTTCAGTCTCCTTAGGCTGTTGTCGTAGCTGTCCTGGGTCATAGCAGCAGGCTCTGCCTGTTGTCTTTCCCTTCTCTAACTTGCTCTTAACACTGCTACTACTATTGTCCTAAGATACAGGTGTCACTATTTCAGTCCCTTGTTTAGTGCCCGCCACTAGTTTCATGTGAAGTCCATATTTTTCAACCTAATTTATAAGGCCATTTGTCATCTAGCCCCTTTTTTAATTGTATAAGTTTGCCTCATGTTTTGTTATTCTTTCTCTTACCAAGTTTATGTTCCAAATTTAGTAATCTACCCCCACTCTGGCTTCTCACTGTTGTGGTTTGTGTGTAGTGGTCTCCCCAAAGCCTTATCATTAGTAGGTGGGGTTTTTTGGAGCTGGCTGGATCTAGTATGGATGAAGGGTGTGTGATGACTGCAGGAGTCCACTGATGTTTGAACGTAGTTCTGGACATGGATAACAGGAAGGCCCACCCTGGGTGTGGGTGGCACCATCCAACAGGCTTGAATGGAATGCAAGGGGCAGAAGGCAGGCCAGCTGCTTCCTGTCTGCCTTGTCATGATCCGTTTCTTCTCTGCCATCCCTTTCTGGGATTTCTACAAACTGTGAGCCAAAATAAACCTTTTCTCCTTTAACCTGTGGTTGTTGGGTGTTTTGTCCCAGCAATGAAAAAAGTAATTAGGACTCCCACATCCCACGCTCTTTCTCAGGACCTTAGTGCATGTCTCCTTTGATCTCCTGTGACGCGCACCTCCTCCTGTCTGCCCGCAGCCTCCAGCATCCCTACCCTGCTTCTGGTGCCACTTTCTCTGACTAACTCCTATTTATTTATTTACTTATTTAGGATCTTCTGGGGGAAATAGTGTTCATTTTAATCAGAACTCACCCCCCCACACACACACACCATGTGCTCAGGCCCAAAGGCACGCCCGCAAGCAGGCCCTCACTCCTTTGAGAAAGGATGGAGAAGTTTACATGTTTTTTCTGGGGATGCCTTCTTTATCCAGTCAAATTAATTAGATCTGTCTTTATACTTTGAAGTACTTTTACTTTCCATTTTCATTCCACTTAAAGTTCAACATAATTCCTTGTTAATAATCTTCCCTGCAAGACTAAAGTTTCTTGAGGGAAAGGTTTATCATTCTTGCTCTTTGGCAATCCCTGGGACTTAGATCAGTGCCAGCACATGCTAGGAATCACGGATGATGAAACCCTCCCACTCTTGCTTCCTGTTGCTTTACATACATAGTGAGTGAAATTCATGTTTCTCAAAACTAATCTGTTGTATCTTTCTTTCCTATTAGATTCACTTATTTTCTCCACCTGCCCCCCAGTCCATCACCATATACCAATCTTAAACTGAACTGTACCAACTTATTTTTATATGTTTGTGCATACCTTTTTTTTTTTTTTTTAAAGTTTTCTAATTAGTTTAATATTTATTTATTTATTTGTTTGTTTATTTAGTGTGTGTGTGGCCAGCTCAGCCCACCAGGGGGCGGGCTGGCTGGCATGTGGTGCTGGGGATTGAACCACGGTCCCTGTGTTTTGCTTAGCTTAGCTTGTTCTAAGTAGGTGCTTTAGACCACTGAGCCATCTCACCAGCCCTGTTTGTGCATACCTTTGCTCACAGATTTCTTTAATTTTTCCAGTGACAAAATCATACTTCTTTAAGTCCTGGTCAGAGTTCTTCTCAACTTTGAAGACAGAATTAATCACTGCTCCCCATAGCTGTGAAGCCGTAGTAATGTTTTTCTTAGTTCTGAATATAAATAATCCTTTTCTTGTATTCTGATTAGTTGAGAATAAGGTTTATAGTCTGTTCATCTCTGTATAACTAGGTGTTACTGAGTGTAGTTGAATTAAATGTACATGATCAACAGTAGTGGATTCATGGTCTTTTGCGTCCCTCGTTGCTGTCTAGTGCACATCTCTGATCATTTCAGGTGTTATGGAGAGCTAGAGGAGGGGCAGGGTCCTGGAGCGAGACTCGTTCTGCATTTCACATGTGTCATTTCTTTGCTAAAGAACTTTGGAAAAGAAAATCTTAACCTTCTTTGAGTTGAAGTTTTCTTATCTGTCAAATAGAAATAAAGATAATAGCTGCATTGCCTCCTTAATAGAACTGTGTTAAGAATCAAAGGAATTTTTAAAAAGTAAATGAGGGGCCAGGGAGATGGCTTGATGGAATAGGCACTTCCCTGGCAAGTGCATGGGCCTGAGTTCAATCCCCAGTGCCACCCCCCCCAAATAAATAAAATAAAAGAGGTAAATGCATATGAAAGTTGTCTGCATTTTATAAAATGCTATTTAAATGTTGGTAGCAGTTGAACCATCTGTCCTTCATCCCCCTAACCCTGTTTTTGTTGTTCTTTTAGACCTCGGCACAGTGTGGCAAGTTTAGAAAGCATTGTCAATGAAGCCAAAAACATTCCAGCTTTTCTGCCCAACGTGTTGTCTCTCAAAGAAGCCTTACAAAAGGCTCGAGAGTGGACGGCGAAAGTGGAAGCTATTCAGGTAAGGAGACTTGTATTAGTCTGCCTGTCATCAGTACTTCAGGTAAATCCCTTAAGCCTTCAGTTCTTCATGATGGAGCAGTCCTAGTGCAGGAGTAACAGTACTTGAAACTTACTTAGACTTTCATAGCTTAGAAGAAAGATTAATTACTTCAACATATTAGTTTATGTTGTCAAAGGTGATGGAATTAGCTGTTGAGCTCTTACAGGTAAGGAGTTTATCACCTGTGTGCATGAATTATTTTTAAAATAAGAGGCAGAAAAATACAACTAAATGAATCTTAATTGAATACCACAGCATGCTTGGTACTTTTTAGGTTTGGGAGAAGCAGAAAGGTAAGATGCTAGCCTTCAAAATAGCATGTTTCTTTAGTTGAGATAAATATTATACTGTGTAATTCAAAATGGTGCCAGGCATGGTGATGTATGCCGATAATCCCAGCACTCGGGGCTGAGGCAGGAGGATCAATATGAGATCAAGGCCAGACCTTGTCTAAGAAAAAAAAAAAGTGGAATTATTTTACTGCTGAAGGTATGTTCAAATTATAAAAAGCTGTTAGTAGCATCTACAATATGCTGTATATAGATATTCTCATTCTCCTCTTTTTTTTTTTTTTTTTTTTTACTGGCCTCTGAATGTCTTCAGGGCCAGTTTGGCTGGCTTGAGTTGTGGGGATGAACCACAGCAACCTGAGCCTGACTGCTTGGTTGAAGCAGCCACTTAAAGAACTGAGCTAAGGGGCAGGCCCCTACATGGAAATATTGAAACTTTGAACTTATTTGAAACTTTATTCCTGATTGCATTTATATATGTCTGCTCCTCTGAACTGTTTATGCCATCTTGTTATCTCATTAATTAAAGAAATAAAATCTTAGATGTATTCATTAAAAAACAAACTTCTACAATTTTTTTTTTTCATGTTAAGCACCCTACCAGTGAGTTATACCTGTAGTCATTGTTTTAGTAGGAGGTAGACTCACAAATATATGTGGTGAATTAGGAATAATGGAATAATGGACATAGATAGGTTTGTCCTCTGTGCTATGCATGTGAAATTAGAAGTACATGTGAATTATGATGTACATTAAAAATAAGAGCAGCACTGCTTGACAGTTTGACTTAAAATTTTTATTAAACTGAAAGCCCTTTTAAAAAGCATAAAGCTAATGTATGGCAGCCTTTTGAAATGTTTAATACGTTGCTTTATGCATGTAAAATAATATGGTTTTCTGAAGTTGTGCTTTGTCACTTAATGCTATTTGTCTGAAAAATGCAAGTCACTTAAATTTTGACAGGACTGCCCTTTAATTTGGAGGTAACGAGCTTGTATCATGAGGAAGTGCTTGGTGGACACCAGTGTGGGTTATGGATGGAGGTGCAGGCACGGAGCCTTCAAAGAAAGATCGGTGGTGGTGGGTGTAAGATTGAAGAGTCAGTGCGATGCTGATCTTCCTCGGGTAGATGTGCTGACTTTCAAATGAACTTTTTCTGGTTATTATAAATCCATGTAGAAGTGTAGGTATAGACGTAATGGAAATACCAGGAATTCACAGTTGGTTTTTCTTAAAGACAGAAGGTCCCCCCTAAGCTTGTCATCAACTCTTCTGCGGTATATTGCCATGCTCCCTAAGACAACTCAAATTGTGCGAGAATCTACTCTTGTTTTTCAGAGCGGCAGCAACTACGCTTACTTGGAGCAGCTTGAAAGCTTATCTGCCAAAGGCCGCCCTATCCCTGTGAGACTTGACGCGCTGCCACAGGTGGAGTCGCAGGTGGCCGCGGCGCGCGCCTGGAGAGAGCGTACGGGGCGGACCTTTCTTAAGAAGAACTCCAGCCATACGTTGTTACAGGTGAAGTGTAGTTTATTGTATGTGCTCTTAATTCCCATGAGCATTTTGATGGATTGTTACCTACAGATGGCAGTAGTGTTGGTGAGCAAGGTTTGCAGTTCAGTCATCATTACAAGTGATTCCCATTAAGTGATGTTGACCTAAAATCTGAGACTTTACACAAACCTTATTTGGTTTGTGTAAAGTCTCAGAAAAAGCATCTATTTCTAGTTCATCTTATTTGTCCAGAAAAAGCAGGTAGCCGCATCTTAATTCTGTTATTGGACTCTGTCACTAACTGAAGGACAATTTGAATATTTCATTGAACAGTTGAATGTGGTAGTTAAGAGCATGGGCTTTGGAATAAAATAGTTCATTTATCTTGTTTTGTTCCTTAATCCCTAACCCTGTATTCTTGGGCAAGTTGTTCCTTTTCTGAAATCAGTTTCCTTTGTGAAATGCAGAACATAAATACCTACTGCACAGGATTGTTGAGTGTATTGAATTAGATAATATGCATAAAGTTTTTTTAAGAAATGCCTGGGAGGGGCCAGCGAGATGGCTCAGTGTGGAATAAGCGCCTTCCTGGCAAGTGCAAGGGTCTGAGTTCAATTCCCGGTTCCGCCAAAAAAAAAAAAAAGAAAAAGAAATGCCTGGGAGAAGAATTAAAAACATCATACCACAGTGATATATACACATCCACACCTATATTTATAGCAGCACGTTGTATAATAGCTAGATCTTGGAAATAACTCAAATGCCCATCAACTGAGGAATGGCTAAAAAAAAAATGGTGGTCTTTTTATATGGTGGAGTACTACTCAGCCGTAAAGAGGAATAAACTTGAGACTTTTATAGGTAAATGGATGCAACTGGAATCCATATTCATAAGTGAAATAAATCATACTCACATGTGTAAATATCATATTGTCTCCTTAGTGTGAGAAGTTGAAAGTAGATAAGATCCAAAATGTAGAATGGATATTATAAAATGGGTAGAAACTATTCAAAAGGAAAGAAACTGGGGTGGGGGGAAGGACAAAAGGAAGGGAAAATCATATGACAGTTAAGATAGTTATATTTCTAATTTGTCATGATTCATTTAGAAGAAAGATTTGTGCTAATTGTTTGGGCAATTAAATGCCAGTTTCTTATGCTCTTTATTTATTCTTTTCTGCATTTAGGACAGGGTCTATGGGTCTCACTACATAGAGCTGACTCATAGTGATTCTCCTGTTTTCAACCTCCCAAGTGCTGAGATTACAGGTGCATGCCACCACTCTCAGTCTCAGTTGCTCTCTCAGTGTGCCCCACAGGCGGGGCCGGCAAGGCACGCTGGGGATTGAACCCTGGCCACTGTGTGGTGCCTAAAGCTCAGGCGCTTTAGTCCATGTAGCTTATACTCTTGAGTAACATTTAAAGATAACACTATGCAATGCATTAGTCACTGTTAACTCTCCTGTCTTGTTTTGAAATTTAAAAATCTCTTTATTTACAATAAAAAAGAAATGCTTGGGATATGGTGAATGATTCTCTTATAATTTTCACTTTAGATAGTTTATTTTCTATTTATTTTTTGATACAGGATCTCTCTGCGCAGTTTGGACTTGTAATTATCCTGTCTCAGCCTCCCCAGTGCTGGGATTACAGGCATGAGTCACCACGCCCAGTTCCTGGCCAGCATGGTGCGCCCAGGGTTCTGGGACCGGCACAACATGTGGTACCGGGGATCGAACTCGGGACCTTGTGCTTGCCAGGCATGCGCTTATGCTGCCAAGCTATCTTCCCCAGCCCCCAGTTTTCACTTTCAGATTCTTTTGAAAATCAATCAGAGTTTGTATTTTGTTTTTATAGGTGCTAAGCCCTCGGACTGACATTGGTATATATGGGAGTGGTAAAAACAGAAGGAAAAAAGCAAAAGAACTAATAGAAAAAGAAAAAGAAAAGGATGTAGATCTTGAGCCTTTGAGTGATTTGGAGGAAGGACTGGAGGAAACCAGAGATACAGCCATGGTGGTAAGAAACCATATTCACTTGAATACAAAATTCTCTGCAGGTGTTAGGTGGTCTTTTTTTATTTTTGTCTGTTTATACTTTGTATACTTTATTGTAGGCATTCTTTTTCTTTTTCTTTCTTTTTTTTTTTTTTTTTTTTTGCAGAACCGGGGATTGAACTCAGGCCTTTGCGCTTGCCAGGGAAGCACTTATTCCACTGAGCCATCTCCCCGGCCCCGGCATTATTTTTCATAGTACAAAAAGTTTACTCTTGCTTGTTTCTCAGAGCTGTCATTCTCACATCTATAACCTTTATTGTAATTTTAATACTTGTGATATGTTCCATCAAAGTTTTAGAAAATTTGTTGAATTTTTTTTTGTTTTGTTTTTTGGTCCTGTGTGTGTGTGTGTGTGTGTGTGTGTGTGTGTGTGTGTGTGTGTGTGTTCCCATGCTGGGGATCTTATTCCAGGGCCTCTTGTATAAGAGGCAAGTACTGTAACACTGAGCTGTAGCCCCAGCTTTCTCATTGTTGTTTTTTATTTTTTGGTACTGGAAGTTGAACTCAGGACCTCACATTTACCAGGCAGGCGCTGTGCCACTGAGCTATCACCCCCTCAGAATTTTTTTAAATGTTGAATATTGTACCTATTTTTAAGTTTCCTGTTTTCAGTAATAAAGTGAATCTTCTTGTATATTTATTCTTTTACTTTTCTAGTTTTGACTCAGTGGAACACTGGGTTTTTATTAGCTTTTTGCCTTTCAAGGTAATTGTACTGGCTTACTGATATGAGTTGCTTTTTTAAATATTTCATTTCTCTTAGTAACATTCAATAATGTAGTGAGCACTCAATAAAATATAGTAATGAAAATTATATGTTTTGTGTGTGAGTGGGAAAAGGAGAGTAAGAAGAAAGTGTCAAGATTTTTAGGAGCTTGACAGAGTGGAGTGAGTGTTCTTTTTTTGTGTCGGGGATCAAACTCAGGACCTTGCACTTGCCAGGCAGGCACTTAAGTGCTGAGCTATCTCCCTGGTGGCAAAGTGGAGTGAAAGTACTAGTTTGGGGAGTTATTCATAGGGAATTGCATGCACTAAGTAAGTTGGTACTGCTCTGTCTGCAGAAGAACCTGTTTTGAGGCCAGTCAAATTAGAGAAAACTGCCTCACAAGTCAGTCTTAATAGTCTTGCAGGGGGGGAATTACCCACTCGGTTCCCCCCCCCACAGGAGCTTTCTTTCTCTCAATAAATATATTCTGCTCATAAGAAAAAAGTCTTGCAAAAGAAACAAGTCAAAATTATATCAAGTTGTTTCACTGCTCCCAATAATTTAAAGAGAAAATGTATTGACAATTCTCATGATAATTAAATTTTGTTTGCTCTTATTTTGTTGGAATGAGTTTCATAAAATACTATTTTTATAATTGATGATCAGACTGTGTTGTTGTACTTCCACTGAAATGGAGAGGCCTTCTAGGGACAAGAATTTATTGAATAGAACTTGTCCGCAGGGAATAAATTGCAAGGGGATAGAAATCAATATTGTTTTCCTTATGGTGGCACGAGGTTAGACACTTTATGTCTTATCTTACTTAATCCTGAGAACAGTAAAACAGGACTGGTGGTGTATGTGTGCTGTGGTATATGTGTGTTTTCCAGAAAAGTGAAATTAAGAAAAGTTGTACCACAAATGAACAGTCTATCATAAATAGAAAAGCCAGATTTGGTACCTAAGTTACTTGATTTCAGTCATGCCCTTTTTCTCCTATATGTCTTACAGAAAAATTCAAAGTATCTAGTATCGCACATTGTCAAATGTAGTTGAACGTTACCCATTTCACACGTTAGGGGTATTTGCATGCAACCTGGCAGGGCACTCTACATTTCAAGAAATTATTTACAAGCATTGTTGAGGACAGTGCCTCGTTAGCATGAAGCCACAACTTGAAGAGCCCTTAGCCTTACGCATTTGTTTTTTGGGGTATACTGCAGTGACTCATCTCAATTAGATGTTTGTTGCATACAGGTGGCAGTATTCAAAGAACGAGAGCAAAAAGAGATTGAAGCCATGCATTCCCTGAGAGCAGCCAACCTGGCCAAGATGACAATGGTGGACCGTATAGAAGAAGTAAAGTTTTGTATCTGCCGTAAGACAGCCAGCGGGTTCATGCTTCAGTGTGAGCTCTGCAAAGACTGGTTCCATAACAGCTGTGTTCCCCTTCCTAAATCAAGTTCCCAGAAAAAAGGATCCAGCTGGCAGGCTAAAGAAGTTAAATTCCTTTGTCCTCTTTGTATGCGGTCTCGGAGGCCCAGGCTAGAGACTATACTGTCACTGCTGGTGTCCCTTCAGAAGCTGCCTGTGCGGTTGCCTGAAGGAGAGGCCCTTCAGTGTCTCACTGAACGTGCCATGAGTTGGCAGGACAGAGCCCGGCAGGCCCTCGCCACAGATGAACTGTCGTCCGCCTTGGCCAAACTGTCTGTGCTAAGCCAGCGGATGGTTGAACAGGCAGCCCGAGAGAAAACGGAAAAGATCATCAGTGCCGAACTCCAGAAAGCAGCTGCCAACCCAGACTTACAGGCAAGTTTAGGATTTATCTTCTTTCTTTGTTTCATGGGGTAGTATTTGACAGCCTGTGATTAGTAAATGAGAGTTATCCTATCAGTTGACTAGGAACACCACAGCAAGTAGCCTGCAGCTGGGTGGTCAGTGTCTGTCTTCTGCATGCACCCACCGCAATCTCTTCAGGTGTATACCTAGGTTATTTAGTGAAGTATTACCTGGAAATGCCATTCAGAGGAATTTCTGCATCACAGACAATTAATTTCTATTAACTGTTACACCGCAGTTCAGTGCTTTGCAAGTTCACATCTTGTTGACCTTCAAGTCTCCCATGTTGCCTCTGTTCATCTTGGAATTCTCTGCTACTTAGGGACACCTGCCTAGCTTTCAGCAGTCTGCGTTTACCCGGACGGTGAGCAGCGTGTCGTCCTCCCCTCGACACACGGTGGAGTATGACGACGAGGAGACTGACTCGGATGAGGATGTGCGGGAGGCCTATGGCTGCGACGTGAAGGTAACTGCGGCAGGCCGTGTGTGTGCACGTGCTGCTCAGCGACACGTGGGCGGGCCGTGTGTGCGCGCGCTGCTCAGCGACACGTGGGCGGGCCTGTGTGTGTGTGTGTGCGCGTGCTGCTCAGCGACACGTGGGCAGGCCGTGTGTGCGTGCACTGCTCAGCGACATGTGGGTCCTGTGTGTGCGCGTGCTGCTCAGTAACATGTGGGCAGGCCGTGTGTGTGCGCGCGCTGCTCAGCGACATGTGGGCCCTGTGTGTGCGCGCTTTGCTCAGCGACACGTGGGC